TGAACTGCACAGCAAGACCGTGTCTCAAAAAGAAAAAAATAGGGCTGGGGACATAGCTCAGTGGCACAAGCACCTGCCTGGCAAGAGCAAGGTCCTGGTACCAAAAAATAAATTAATAAAAATGTCAATAGGTGCCAGGCGTGGTAGTGCACACCTGTAATCCTAGTACTCGAGAGGCTAAAGCAGGAGGATCACCATGAGTTTGAGGCTAGCCTGGGCTACATAAGTGAGTTCAAGACAAGCATGCACTATGTGAGACCCTGTCTCAAAAAAGAAAAAAAAAAAGAAGTCAACAGTCACCGCCAAAGTCTGGCACAATTTGTGCTCCTAATAATGAATAAAAGTGCCCACTTCCAGTCTGGCAAGTGCAAAGTTCTGAGGTTGAGTCCCAGTACCAAAAAAAGGGCCCATTTCCAACACTTGATATTAACAGCAATTTTTTCAACTATTTGTTAATCTCAAATTCTGAGTATTTTAAATTACTTTTTTAAAACAATAGAAGTATAGATTCATATGCACTGAAAAGGAATAATACAGTGATTCTCTGTACCCTTCACCCAGTTTTCTCCAATGCTAATATTTTGCAAAATTATTGTACAATAGAATATATCCTATGACTAGGACATTGGCACTCATACTGGGAGGGAGGAGAAATACAGATATTTGGTCTAAGTCCCTGATTTTTGACACAGAGCTTCCGAAACCTTTGGAGAGTGATAGGAATGTCATTTGTTATTCCTAAGTCCCTTCTGACCATAACAGGAGTTTTATGATAATGGTATAGTGACTGGTAGATACCTAGACAATTTCAGGGTGAGGGCTGAAAAATAAATATGACTAGAGGGTTAGAACTCTCAGCCCCATCCTCTTGAGTTCTAAGGAGAAAGAGCTGGAGATTGAGATTGAGTTCAATAACCAATGGCCTATGATTTAATCAATTATGCCTACATAGCAGAGCCTCCATAAAAAACCTCTAAGTGATCGGGCTCAGAGAATTGAGGACCACACCCAAGTGCCAGGAGGGTACTATGCCCCAGCTCCACAGAGAGCTGGCGTGCCATGCCCTATGTATCTCATTTGACTGTCTATATCCCTTATATAAAGCACAGGTAATAGTAAGCATAGCATTTTCTGAGTTTTACTATTGTTCTAGCAAATTACTAAGCACAGGAGTGTGTCGTAGAAAACTCAGACAGAAGCATGGTTAACCTGGAAGTAGCGTCTGAGATAAGGGGCAGCTGTGTAAGACTAAGCCCTTAAATACGTGGAATATGACACCAACAACCAGGTAATTACTGTCAGAAGTGAATTGCTGGATATCCAGTTGACGTTTTAGAGCCAGAGAACTGGATAATTAAGTTTGTATAGGAAAAAACACCTGAGATACAATCCATAGATTCTTATTCAGATATCCCTAGTTTTACCTGTATGTGTGTATGTGTTTAAGTTATTTTACTACATATGTGAATTCAAGAGTCCACCCCTACAGTCAAGACACAGAACAGGCTGGGCACTGTGCTTTGTGTCTGTAATCCCAGGACTCTGGAGGTTAAGGCAGGAGGATAGCAAGTTCAGTCACAAGGTGGGCAATTTAATGAGACCTTCTCTCAAAACTAAAAGAGGTCAAGGAGTGTTGCTCAGTGTGAAAGCTCTGAGTTTAATCCCCAGCAACACGCGCGCGCGCATGCGCGCGCACACACACACACACACACACACAACCAGGTCCATCATCACAAAGATCCTTTACCTTAACACTTCATTCAAATATCTACCCCCTCTTTAATAATCTGTCAATGACTAATCTTTTCTCTTTTTTTTTTATCTTTTCTCCATTTACATCATTTATCAGTTCAAGAAAGTTACATAAAAATGATTTGCAAATCACAGATCTCATAGGGGCTGGTTTATTAGTCAAGAATAAAACAAAAGAAATGAAAATATCTAATTTTAAAAGGGGAAAGGGTTTGAATAGACGTTTTCCCAAAGAACATATATAATAGCCAATAAAAACATGAAAAGAGACCCAGCATTGCTAGGCAATAGGGAAATGTAAACCAAAAACCACAATGAAATACCACTTCAGCTCAGCAGGATGGCTATACTCAAAAAGACAGATAAAGTTAGTGTGGCAAAGACACAGAGAAAGTAGAATCATCATAGATAGCTGACGAGAATGTGAAATGATGCTGTTTGGAAAGACTGTTTGGCAGTTCTTCCAAAGGTTAGCATATGACTCTGCAATTCCACTCTTCGGTATATGCCAAGAGAAATGAAGCATAGATCCACACAAAAACATGTATACAAACCATTATTCATAATACCAAAAAAAGTAGAAACAGGGGCTGGGGATTTAGCTCAGAGGCAAAGCGCCTGCCTGGCAAGCGCAAGGTCGTGAGTTCGGTTCCTGGTACCGGAGAAAAACCAAAAAAAAAAAAAAAAAAGTAGAAACAACCCAAATATCCATCAACTGATGGAACTGCAATAAACTGATTTAGAATGACAATAAAAAGAGAAGGGCAAACTACAAAACAGATGAACCTGGAAACACTTAGCCTAAGTGAAAGATGACAGTCACAAAGCCCACATACAGTACTGTACGATTCCATTTACAACAAGTGAGCAGAATAAGCAAGCATTTAGAGACGAAGTAGACTGACAGCTGCCAAAAGCTGAGGGGTAGAATTTGGAGTGCTTGCTCATGGGTAAAGGCTTTCTTTCTGGGGAGACAAAAATGCTCTCAAATTAGATTGTGGTGATAGTTACAAAACACTGTGAATACATTCAAAACCATGGAACTGTCTACCTTTTTCTTTTCTTTTTGGCTGTGGTAGGATTGAACCTAAGTCTTCTTTTTGGCTGTGGTAGGATTGAACCTAGGCAAGCACTCTACCACTGCACTACACTCCCAGTTCCCTAAGTCACTTTTTAATCAGTACTGAAATGAGTTGTTTCTCAATATACTGACCAAACTTCTGTTCTCCTGCAAGTTGTCTTTTCATCATATCTTTGGTCCCTTTTCCTTCCTCTACTATGAACTGAACCTATGTCCTTCACCATGAACTACATCCTCAACCCACCTCACCAATCCCATTCTTTTTCAGACAGGATCTTGCTCAGTTTCCCAGATTGGGTTCTAACTCATGCTTTTTCTGCTTCATCCTCCTTGAGTGCTGGAATCATAAGAGTTCTCTATCACACCCAGCTACCTACCTTTTGCTAGCATTTTATCATAGGTACTGTAAATTTTCCCCCAACTTAACTTTGCTTACAATTATTTTTAAATATTTCTGACTTTTATGTAGTAAAATATTCTTCTAGATTTTCTTCTAGTACTTTTTCCCATCTCAACACTAGGGATTGAACCCAGGACCTTTAAATGGAATTACAGCCACAACCCTTTTTTTAAATTTTTGAGACAGGATCTCACTAAATGGTTTAGGTGGGACCTAAACTTTTTATCCTCCTGCCTTAGACTTCTAGAGTGTTAGGATGACAGGTGTGTACTACCACATCTGATTTTTTCCAGTACTTTAAATCTACTTTTTTTTGGTTTATTTCCGATACCAGGAATCGAACTCATGACCTTGTGCTTGCCGGGCAGGTGCTGTGCCGCTGAGCTAAATCCCCAGCCCTTCTTCTAGTACTATTAGGTTATATATTTTATGATAAAATCTTTAATAAATCCTAAACTAGGTGTGGTAACACATATGTTTAATCCCAGCACACTGGAGGCTGAGGCAGGAGGACCACTGCAAGTGTGAAGCCAGTTTGGGCTACATAATGAGTTCAAGGCAGCCTGAATTACAATGTAAGACCCTGCCTCAAAAAACAAAACCAAAGCCAGGCGTGGTGGCACACATTTGTAGTCCTAGCACTCGAGAGGCTGAGGCAGGAGGATCATTGGCTGTTTGAGACCAGCCTGGGCTACAAAGTGAGCTCAAGGCCAGCCTGAACTGCATAATGAGATTCTGTCTCAAAAAAAAAAAAAAAAAAAATTCTTTAACCCAGAGGGCTTGGGTTCTAGTCTTTGACTGTTTCATTCCCCAGCTAAACTGCCCTGGACACCAGTCTGCATCTTTTCTATTTAACACAATTGTTTTGAGAAACAAAATTACAGATATGAGGATTATCCAAAAATGTTCACTAAATTCCCATCTATTTACAAAGAAAATGTAAAGCATTGTACGTATAATACATGTATTAGGAGCTGGGTACAATGGCACACACTTGTCATCCCAGGTACCGAGGAAGCTGAAGCAGCAGGAGTGTTTAAGCCTTGGAATTTAAAGCCAGTTGGACAGTACAGTAACACCTCAACTCTTAAAAAAAAACAATCTACAGCAAAAATGACATGAAAGTAGAAGGGAGCTATTAGACAATAGGAAGAGAATCAGGGAAAGAGGGAAGGGAATATAGAGAGGATGATGAAGGGACAGATATGATAAAAACATTTTATATGCATGTAAAAATCACACAATGAAACACAGTATTTCATAGTTACTATGCATTAATGAAAATATATATTGCAACATACATGTAGACACATACGAACTGTTTTTACTCCATGTGCTACAATAGTGAACTTTCAATGTCAGCCTCAGAGAAGCTCATCATCTCCAAATCCTATGTCCAAAGAAATGAAGTGATTTGCCTAGGATCACATATGACACCCAGGGAAGAGCTGTTCCTGAAGCAAATCCAATTAGCTATACCCGAGCCTCCTCGCCAAGTCACAGAGCACTATTCTTCTGAGTTAAGATCTGCTAAGCAGGCTCAGGGATAGAGCATGTCCTCTTTGCATGCGAATGCGCGTGCACACACACAGACCTGATAAAAGTACTCATATTTTAACATTATATGTATTCAATCTACACAAAAGACAAAATACAACAAACAAAAAGTATGAGCTATAAAACACAAAGCCTAAAATTAGGATGTGATGAGGGTTAGAGCAGAGAGAGTGAAATGGGAAAGCTGAATTTCAAGATATAGGCTCCCACCTTGCTTTCGACAGCCTGGGATTTTGATAAAGGCTCCATAGTCTGTCACCATAGCAACCTATAAAGATTTAAAAAAAATCAATGTCACAAAAATGAAAATCTTTCTTCCAGAGCATTTAACCTCGCCTCCTTGAATTTCCACTTGGTATAGATTTCCCTCTGTCTGCCTAAAAGTGATGTTCTGTCAAATAGTTCTTTCTGTTCTTTTTAAAATTTAGACTGATAGGTATATGTGTACACATTGAAAACACTGGTGAGACTGGAGTGCTGTCACATGGATGATGGTACCCAAGAAATGCCCAAACCCTACACCAACAGAGTTTTATGAATAAAAAGAACAAACAGCAAAAACCAGGAAGTAAATTCACACTTTATATTAGCTGAGCCTGAGGTCACCAGTCTCATACAGAGAATCTTAATAGTCTGAGACAGATTATGTGGGCTGTAGGGCACTCTTTTCTTAAATTCAAACCAGACCATAGTTTGTATTTCAACCCAAATTTCCATCTTGATGAGAAACTACATTGAAGATATCAATATGTAATACAATAAGCATTGTTAATTCCCTACCACTCTGTTTGTAACTCTGTAATGTCTGTACTGATCCTATGCTATTTTGTAAACTGTTGTCGGTCTGTTAATATTTTCCTCCTTTTATTTCTAAAATTTAAAAAAAAAAAAACAAAAAAACAAATTTCCATCTTGGAAAAAAAGTTCACACAGACATCTGATAGAATCTGAAAAGATATAACCAAAGAAAATGAATTGTCCCCAAGACTTTGTTGTTTATTTGCTTTTAGTTTTTTGAGACAAGGTCTTGCTGTGTAGTTCAGGTTAACCTTGAACTCACTATGTATAGATTTAGGCAGACAGAGGCAAATCTATACCAGGCTGGCCTCAAACTTGTGGCAATCCTACTGCCTCATTCAGGCTCCCACGAGCTGAGATTATAGGCATGGGCCATCACGCTGTCCTCAGTCTTTTGCAAAACAAGTATGAACTTAGAGGCTTTTGACAAATTTTAGTGATAAAAGGCCAAGAACTCCTGTCAGACAAGTTATCATCACAGGCTCTCCATCCCTTCCAATTTTCAAACAACCCCCTTACACCTGTAGATTAGAATTAATGTCACTATATACTGTACTTATTAAATTCATTATTATTTGTAAAATATTTGATACAATCTTATACACATCCTTTTCAGTGTCTTTAGTTAGTTGTTTTAAGCAGTTTTAGCTCCACCAAAACTAAAACAAGGGGCCTCAGTAAAAGAATCCATGTTATACTGATATTCACTAACATATACATATACATTCGCTGTATGCGAAACACTACTCAAAATCCTGATACTGTATGAAATTGGCACCATTATTTATATTCAACAGATGACAAAGGGATGCACAGAGATACTAAGTAATTTACTCAACCTCCAAAGCTAGTAAGTAACACAGCTGGGATTTGAATGGAGTCTTAACTACTACAGAGTTACTTATGGGTTCCCTTTAATGATGAAATTCTAACAGTGAGAAGTGGTGTGACATCTGGTATCCTATTTGTCCCTGGCAACAATCCTAGGAAGTATATACAGTAAGTCCCTATATTATAGATAAGGCAGAATAGTCTAGGTGGAGAAGGAACACAGGCTTAGGGGTGAAAGAATATGGTTTCTAGTCTCAGCTCCTATCCTAGTCTCCATTTCCTATCTGTGAGATATTGAACACACCTGGTCTTGCAGAGTGTGTTCCCATTTGTTCTCACCTTGCTGATGCAGATAACAAATGACACACATAAAATGTCTGGCACTTATATTTGGCACATAATATCCATTCAATAAAGTGTAGCTTTTAATAACTGACAGTCTAAGATCCCGAAGCATAAAGAAGATTAGTGACTGGTGGGAGGTATACAACTTAGACACAAGGTAGGGACAGAACCTGGGTGTCTTGATTCCTAGTTCAGTGCCTCCTACTTTACCAAATACCATCATTGATTGCAGTGTTGGATGGAAATAAATACAAATTTTCATTTTCCTCATTTTTAATGGGAAATATTCAGATAGAACAGCTGAACTCTCCAAGATGCAGCATAAAGAATGGGTTATGAACCAAAAGCTCTGAACTATTTTACACTGATAAACAAGTATGCTGGACTAAGGACCAACTGATCCCAAAGAAACAGTTCAAACCAAGGTGGAGCTGCAGGGAGGATTTTAAGGAGGACTTCAGAGATTAGCTGGTCCAATCCTGTTACTTTCCAAATGAAGAAGGTAAAGACCAGAGATACAAAGTCCTTACCTAAGTTCACAAAGCAATTTATTCTGTGTGAAAAAGGTCTTATGGATGAAGATGAGTCCTTCAATTTTTAATTAAATTAGAGCAAATCCCTTACTTCTACATCACCTAAAGGTACTCAAACTGACTTCTGCTCCAGGATTCTAGAAGAGGGGCTAAGAAATCTCATATTGTGTAACAACAGTGTTAAGAAGCATAATTATCTAACAAACCTAACAGAACCATCTGGAAGTTAGAGTGCAAATCACCTTGCTGCTATAAATTAAGACAATCTTACTTTTCAATCCTGAAGCTCTAATGTTACATTATGGTCTTTAGAGGTAATAACAGACTAATTTGGCCTCTCCCAAAAGGAAAGGTTAATGTGCTCCAGAATAGAGGCACTCAACTGTTAAGTTAAGAAGAGGCATTCTTGCCTACATTTCAGCACCAGATGTTTCCATCACTGTTTCTCCTAGGGTGCAATCAGAGTTGAAATTAACAGGATGGCACCTGCCATAGATGATCACACAGTCTGCCTGGTGTCCCAGGAATAATTACTCAAATGGCTCAGGGGGAAAAAAATTCAGTAATGATCTCAACTGAATTTAGGCCTTGGGTAAAATGAATTTCCCATCTTCAGATCTGAGGTGGCACTGGCCTTGAAATTTGTTCTCCTAATAACATAAATGATGAATTTGAAGCTCAGAGACGTAAGTCATTTCTCCAAAGTCACCAAGTTAGGAAGTAGCACAGCCAGGTATAGAGCAGAAAATTTCTGACTTCTAGTCCAGTGCTATTTCTACCTTACCAACACCAATCTCCCCTCAGTATTTCTTTGGCAAAGGCAAGGCTGAGCAGAATCCCAATACCCACTGCTATGTTTGTGCTCCTATATCATGCTTAACAGATGCTGCCACCAAGAGAAAAGAGCAGGATGAATACTGGATTCTTGGCTATTCAGTCACAGGCCCCCCCACTGCTGAGCCTGCTAATAGAAGAGCTGCTGGGCTATGAGCTGTACTACTAGTTTGCTCAAGGACAACCAGCCCTATGGGAGTTGGGTACAATTTTATCCCAACATTTACACAGCACTTACTATATGCAAGACACCATGTTAGGAGCTGTAAAATTTTTTTAAAAACTTAAAAAAGAGATCCCCAAGCCAGGCATGGTGGCACATGTCTGTAATTCCAGCACTCTGGGAGGCTGAAGCAGAAGGACTGCAAACTGGAGTGTGTACAATCTAGTGAAACTCTGTCACAAAAAATAAAATAAAATAAAATAAAATTTACAAAGTGCTGGGGATATAGCTCAGTGCAAAGGCCATGGCTTTGATTGTCAGTATCAGCCACAAAATTTAAAAATTACACAACAGACTATGATAAAACTGCGAACACTGATAACATGCCTGAAATCCCCAGCTATTGGAGAGGCTGAGGAAGACAGATTGAAAGTTCAAAGCCAGCCTGGGTAACTTAGCAAGATCCTGTTTCAAAACTTAAAAAAAAATATTTTTTGTTTGTTTGAGACATGGTCTCACTATGGAGTGCACACAGGCCTTGAACTCATTTATGTAGCCCCGTCTGGCCTCAAACTCATGGCAATCCTCCTGCCTCAGCCTACTGTGTCCTGGGATTATAGGCATGTGCCACCACAGCCAGCTCAAAATAAAATTTTAAAAAGCTACCCTTATTATAGACAGCTAAATTAGGTAGAAATATTATAGGCAGTCACACAGGGATAGGCCCTCCTAGGAGTCCATGCAAAAGGTAAGAACACATTACAACTATGGCTGGAGGCGCATTTTTTGAAGTCCAAACCTCAAGATAAAAGATGGAATGACTAGACATACATACCTCCCTGAGGGATAAACAATATACTATAATCAATAATCTAAACAGGTATCAGTCACCTGGGTGGGTGACCAGGACCTTCTGACTCATCTCTTCCAAAAAAGATCCCTGATCTTTCCATGTACACTTGATGCATGACCTGCTTCGTCAATGGATCAACATTACCTAAGTGGCTATACTTATTTGTTGATCATGGTTTCATCCCACGTTGCACCCGCCTTGTGATTTTGTACTACTTCATGATTTTGCTCTATAAAACTTCCTTTGAAAAGTGGGCTCTTGGCAACCTACTTTCAGGTCCCCTCCTGTCTCTCAGGAGATGTTTCTCCCTCAATAAAATATCCTACTCTTAACCTCCATTGTTCCTCAGGTTTCATTCTTTGATTTGGGGGAACATGAACTCAGCATATCAGACATTTAGCAGGTTTGCGGTTGTAATGTTTCCCTATGTTATTTGGAGGTGCTATATCACCCTGCAGTGTGGCTCAATGGCAAAGCATTTGCCTAGTGCATGCAAGCTTCTGGCTTCAAGCTGTAGTACTACAAGGGAAAAAAAAAAGACTGATAAATACTATAATACAATTATGACGGTGAAACAACCAGACTTAGAATCTACCTTCTTTCTATTATTCAAGTCAATGAAAACAATTCTCTTACACATCTTTTGGTGCACCATACATTTATGTAAAGTTAGGCAATCTCAGCTGTAGTTTAGCACAAAGAAGACCTGGAAAGATTTAGACTCCCACCTCTGCCATTTATTATTCACTGGGACACCGATGTGGTGGCGCATACCTGTAATCCCAGCACTCAGAGGCTGATGCAGAAGGATCATTCCAAGTTCCAGACCAGCCTGGGCTACAAAGTGAGCTCAAGGCAGCCTGACCTGTCTAGTGAGACCCTGTCTCAAAAAGACAAAAAATAAAAATAAAAAATAAAAAACATTACTCACTGGGAGTTTACTTAACTTCTGAGAAGTTTCCTTATCCACTAAGAGTTAATTTTTTGGAAAGATTCACTAATAGAGAAGAGCTAACAGGTTTTCAATTTATTTTTTCAATTTTAATATACCTGATCTTCCTTGTAAATATCAGACACTCATTAAAAGTTCAGTGGATGAATATTCTGAAAATGTTTCTTCTAACACAAAATTTCTTTTTTTTCCTAATTCTAACTCAGTTCAACAGCATCCTTTTTCAAATCATGGCCCTAAAACAGCAAGTTCTATAAAGTTCTTGGTAAACATGAAGTTAAAAAATAATGTTGAGCCGGGGATATAGCTTAGCAACACAGTGCCTTGCTTGGCAAGTGCAAGGTCCTGAGTTCGATTTCCAGTACCAAAAAAAAAAATATTTTTGAATTCTTTTTTTATTTGGGGGATTTTAGTTTAAAAAAAAAAACTTTTAAAAGTAAAGTGGGAAACTGCAATGTTCTCTCTGAGATATTCTCGATATTTCTCTCTGAATATTTCCCCAGTCTATCCTTCCGTGACAGCAATATATAAAACCTACACTAATTCAAGCCCCTTCTCAGAGAAAAAAAATGTGCAGGTTGAGAGCCACTTTACTAAAAATCTGAATCTGTTTATAAAGGGCAAAGCACTCTTCCCTTTGTGCAGCAGCTGACTAGTAAGCACTTCTGGATCTGAAAATTGAATTTTACTCCCAACATTACCACTTCTTTTTCTGATGCCTCACTAACCTTTGGGGATACCACAGGCCACACAAAAAAAAGACTTTAAAGAGTACAGCTGTTTGCTTTTGTTAGGATGTCATTATCTTTTGTAGCTTAACTGTTATATTATCAGCTAGGATCAAGAAGGATCTATTACCAGAAGTCAAAAGCCACAATTATCTATAACTGACTGACAGTTACGATGTGTACCCTCAAAGACCTCACATTATTAGAGGCAAAACTTTTCTCAACCATAAAGCAAGTATAAATGCCTGCAGTTTGGACAGGAAAATCGTAAGTTTCAGCCCAGCCTGAGCAACCTAGCAAGACCCTGCCTCAAAATTTAAGGGGCAAGGGATATAGCTCAGTGTGGAAGGCCCTGAGTTCAGCAATGGTGAACCTTTTAGAGCTTTCAATGATACAAACAGCCTGCTGCGGCAGGGCACACACACTGTCAATTCGCCACCACTCCCCTGAATTCAATCACCAGTATAGAAAGGGGGTGGGGTGCAGAAAAATAATTTTGTTAAAATATTACAGGTACTCATAAGACAATGAAAACCATTTAGAAGCTTTTACTTGGACTTCAAGCAGTGAAGACATGGGTAATGAATTCCTCCATCATTTTTATAGACAGTATCTCACATAACCATTACAATAATCCTTCAAAAGTAATTATCTCCATTTAACAAATGACAAAACTGAGGCTCAAAAAGATTAAGTGACAATCTCAAGGACCATGCATTAATCTATGAAAGAGCCATTCCAAAGCTTCTGCACTCTAAATAAACACATTACCTCCCATTGCAAAGGCATTCACTCAGTCATCAAAAAAGGCATCAAGTTGGCAATGTAGCTCAGCATAGAGTGATTGCCCAGCAGATGCAAGGCCCTAGGCTTGAATAAAAAGCAGAACTATCGAGCCAGGCATGGTGGCGCACGCCTGTAATCCCAGCACTCGAGAGGCTGAGGCAGGAGGAGCATTGTGAGTTCGAGGCTAGCCTGGGCTACAAAGCGAACTCAAGGCCAGCCTGAACCACATAGTGAGACCCTGTCTCAGTAAGACAAAAAAAAATAGAACTATGCCTCATGGAGCTTAGTGTCTTATGGGGAAGAGAGACACTGAGTAAGTACACAGCTAAATACAAGTTGAACTATTTACTCATGATAAGTAAAAGATCTCAAGGAGACATTACAACTGAGACCTAAAAGATGAAAACTTGGTGGGAAAGTAGGTAGTTAGAAGAAACAGTTTCTTCCTGCTGCTATAACAAAATACCACAGACTGGATATTTTATAATAGAAATTTAGTTTTCATAGTTCTAGAGATTCGCAAGTTCAAGGTCAAGGTACCAGCAGACTTGGTGTCTGATAATGGCTTTTTCTCTGCTTCCAAGATGGCAACTTCTTGCTGCATTCTTCAGAGCAGACAAACGCGAGGTCCTCCTCACAAAGGGGAAGGGACATTGGCTCAGGCAACTCTCTGAAGCCTCTTTTTATAAAAGTATCAACCTCCTTCTCAAGGTGGCTTGAATGGCTGTATTTCCTTCAAAATTCACAACTGAAATTTAATTTGCAGTGCAACAGATAGAAGAAGCAGGGCTTTTGCGAGGTGATGAGGCCTAGTGAATGGATTATTGCCTTATAAAAGAGCGAGAGGAGCCAAGTTTGCCCCTTCTGCCACATTCCGCCACATGAGGACATAGCACTTGTCACTTCTAGAGGACCCAGCAACAAGGCAGCATCATGGAGGCAGATGGTAGCCTTCACCAGACCCTAAATCTGTTGGCATCTTGATCTTGGACTTCTCAGCCTTTAGAACTGTGAAAAGTAAGATTTTTGTTCTTTATAAACTAAAAAAAATTACCTAATCCCAGGTATAAATGGACTAAAGGAAACAGCATTTGCAAAGATCCTGAAGCGAAAGCAATCAGGGTTCAGAGCTATAAGGAAGCCAATGTAACTGTATGAGCAAGAAAGGACAAAGTAACCCTGTCAAAGTAGGCAAAACACAAGCAATGCAAGAGTCCAGAAAAAAGATTATATTTCTAGGGGAAGGGCCAGATAGATAGGGAAATAGCACAAGCCTCTGTAAGCTTTCTGGAAAATCCTTATTAGAAAGAGTTAGACCCCTGCTAGATAGAAGAATTAAGAGGAAAAGAGAAGCAGCATGGTTCTGCCAGTGCCCCAGCTAAAGTTAGTTGCTCCTCCCCACCATGTAGTAAAGTACAAAGGAGACAAAAGGGGATTTGGCTACATAACAGCAAACTCAGTATATAAAATACATACCCACACCTGGACTCTCATATATATGAGAGTTAAAAAATATAAACATATATAGAGAGATATGTATATATTCTTACCATTATATATAGTTTCTCTTTTCTTTTTGTTTTTTTTAACTGATTCCAATTTTTTTTGGGGGGGGGGTTTCAGGTACCAGGAATCAAACTCATGACCTTGAGCTTGCCAGGCAGGCGCTGTGCCGTTGAGCTAAATCCCCACCCCCTCCAATTTTTTTTTGTACCAGGAATCAAACTCAGGACCTTGCAATTGCCAGGCAGGTGCTTGTGCCATTGAGCCATATCCCCGGCCCCTTCCCTTTACTTAATTGCTAACTTGACCTTCTATGTAAAGTCCTTTTAACAAACGCATAAATTTCAAAGAAGGGCCTGATAGGACAAAAAAACCCAAATAAAACTCACTTTAAAAATGTGCACATATGCCAGGTATGGTGGCACATACTTGTAATCCCAGCACTTAGGAGGCTGAGGCAGGAAGATTACCACAAGTTGGAGGCCAGCCTGGGATACATAAGTGAGTTCAAGTCCAACCTGCACTACATGGCGAGACCATCTCAAAAAAAGCAAAAAAAAAAAAAAAGTGCATATAGAAGATGACACAGGGGGTTAGTGGTCTTGGGGGCTGGGAACCATTTAAAACACCCCAAGGAACCAATCAGATTATGACAAATTCCAGGTAGGAAGAACAGCCCTTGAACCCCTAAAAAGCAGCTGGGAACAAAAAACCATCTTTCTGAAGCCCCTATGTATCTCCTCCTTTTCCCGTCTTTCCAATAAAGTCTCCAATAAAATGTCTTCCTTTCCTTAAACTCTGTATCTTTAATGTTTTACCAATATGGAGTTTACAAGCCCAATGAGATGCCTACCTCCAGCACAGCAGCAGTTCTTGTCCCCCGGATACAACACATTCAAGTAAAATGAGAAGCCTCTGAAAAGCTATGAGAAAGCAGTGTGTGCAATCTGTTTTTAAAATGTTATTCTGGCTGCAATGTGAAAAACAAACTGGAGAGTGGCTATAACAGAAGCAGGATCAAAAAAGATATGGAGAACTTGAATTAGTGGTGTGTCACAGGGATAAAGAAGTATACAAACTGGAGATATAATTAAGACTTACAGGGCCGGGGATATAGCTCAGTGGTACAAGTGTTTGCCTGGCAAGCGCAAGGTCCTGAGTTCAATTCCCAATACCAAAAAAAAAGACCTGCAGACAGACTAGAAGAAGGGAAAATCAACACCAAATCAAGAAGTGAAATCAAGTATAATACCCAGATTTCCAGCTTGGGTACCTGAAAAAAACAGTAGTGTCATTTGCTGAAATGGAAAAGACTAAAAGTGAAACAGTGAAAAAGTTTAAAATTCCATTACAAACAAATTAGAGATGGTGTGAGGCATTCTAATGAAGATGTTAAGTATTCGGCTGGAGGAAGTTACCTTAGAGGAAATACATGCAGCAGCCAGATGCTCCACTACCCCTTCCCACTTAAGCTGTAATGCTTAAGAGTCTCAAGTGGAACATCAAAATCAGCTACTTTTCACCCTTAATCTATTCTTAACACACTGTAAATGGGAAGTTTTCAAAGTACAAAAAATGTATACCTCTCCTTGGAAAATAGTGTAGAGATCAGGCAAGTTTTCCATGGTCTCAGGCCTTCCTGAATTCATCCTTATGTTCTACGGTTCCTCCATTTCTCTTCTGCTAAAGCTAATTCAGGTATCCTGTCACAAAGAAGTAAGCAACGATTAGAGACAACTGAATTCAAGAAGAAACGAATGTGCAAATAGCCCATAGCTATTCTCTACAGAATAACTGTGTTATTTTGAACAACATGTGCAGTACTTTTCTCCAAATCTCTTTTGTCATTCTACTTCTGGGGAGTTTTAGAAATCTTGATTTCTTTTTCACTTACCCAAAGCCATTAGACCACTGGTATTGTTGGTTGGTTTTCGTTTTTTTAAGACAAAGAGTTTCATTATGTAGTTCAGGCTAGCCTTGAACTCTTAGCAATCCTCCCACCTCAGACTCCCAAGTGCTGCGATTACAAACATGTGCTACCATGCCCAGCTTGTTTTTTGTTTGAGATAAGAATCTATGTTACCCAGGCTGGTCTCAAATTTCTGGACTCTTGGAGTCCTCCTGCTTCAGCCTCCTGAGTAGCTTAGAGGTGTCACCACACCTGGCCTGTTTGTTGCTACTGTTGCCAGGGAAGACTTTGAGGAGAAAGGAAGTGCATGTGCCTTCAAAAAGAAAAAAAGGAGTAACAGTAACATTAGCTGAGTTTGGTGACGCATGCCTATAATCCCAGGAAGACTACCACAAATTCAAGGCCATCATGGGCTACACAGTGAGTCAAAGCCAGCCTAAACTACATAATGAGATGGTATCTCAAAAAATAATAACAGTAATAAACTTCAAAAAGAAACTAACATTTATCAAGCACTTACTATGTCCAGGAACTAAGCTAAGCAGTAGACAAATGTGCAATATCTCATTTAATCCTCAAAACTCTCAAGATGTAGGTTCTATTATTATTCTTGTATTATACTAATGAGAAAACCAAGGTTTCTGGACATCAAACAACTAAGCCTATGTCAAAAAGCCAGCAATGGTAGACTCAAACTTTGGCAGACCCTAGAGTCCATTGTCTTAGCTACTATGCTAGGCATTAAATCTGAAGTGACTCTTAAAAGACAGAAGGGCTTATTCAGGCATGGTGGCACACACCTGTAATCCCAGCACTTAGGAGGCTTTGGCAGGAGGATTGGAATGAGTTTGAGGCCATCCTGGGCTACACAGTATTGGGTTCAAGGCTAGCCTGAACTGAATTAGGGAGATACTATCTAAAAAAAAAAAAAAAGCTCATTTTAAAAGATCGGATAATACACCAATAACAGAGAAAATAATGCCACCCATAATTCAATTTGGTTTTTATTCTTTTAGACTTTTGTGTATGTAGAAGTGATTTTTTTGTTTTGTTTTGTTTCGTTTTTTAAGACAGGGTCTCGTTATGTAGCTCAGGTTGGCCTTGAACTCACTGTGTAGTCCAGGCTGGCCTCAAACTTGTGATAATCCTCCTGCTTCAGTCTCCCAAGTTCTGGGATTACAGGCGTGTGCTATCATGTCCAACCAAGAAATGGTTTTACTGAAAAACTTTGTATTCTGTTTGCCTTTTCATTTTCTTATTTTTTTTTTATTAGTACATTTTTCTATCACATAATGATTACATTCATCATGAGGGATATATACATGTATATAACATATATTAATTCTTTTTTTTTTTTGCCATTATTCCTTCCCCTCCCTCCTTTTCTCGTTAAATCCCTCTTTCCTCTTCCCTCTCTTGTTCCTTTTCCCATCTGAGCAAGTTCTTCCTATTTCCTAAAAGAAATTTTATTCTGAATTGACATATTTGTACTAGACTTTTAATAATTGTACTAGACTTTTAAATTGTACTAGACTTAAATTGTACTAGACTTTAATAATAATTGTGCTAGACTTTTAAAATGAAATCATTAATCACTATCAGCCATTTTCTTGTCTAATATGTTACAGCAATTCATGCACACACACATCTTTTTCTAATACCTACATAATAACCCATTGTTGGATATACTAAATTTTTTAACTTATGAATTGTATTAAAATGTAAATTGCAATTCATTAGGTGCATTTTCAACAACCTCTCCCTTAAGGCTGATGCTGCGTAAGTAGAAAGACTTTTTTAGCTTTAGAGTTGGAAGGAGCCTTAAAAGCACTCTTCCTCAGCCTCCTGATTTTAAATAGAGAAGAAACCAGTAACCTAATAGTTTTGTTTTTTTGTTTTTTGGGTTTTTTTTTGGCTTTTGGTTTTTCTCCAGTATCGGGAATCGAACTCATGAACTTGCACTTACCAGGCAGGCGCTGTGCCACTGAGCTAAATCCCCAGCCCCATCTAATGGTTCTTAAACATCCTAGTTTACTCTGCTGGATAAATCATTGCTAACTACCGGTAGAGAAAGAGACATCAAACTGATATAAAAAGAACTAGGTCCCATGCAATCTTGAATAGGTCAACAAACAGACAGTAAAATACCAAACTGGTGACCTAATGTTATATAGTTCACATCTAGATGCCTCCTTCCCCAGACTTCACGTACTGACTGGTGGGGTTTTGGGGAGGTGACTGAATCATGGGAGAATGATACTCATCAGTAGATCAGTCCACTAATTAGTTTATAGCTAAATGTGACCTGGGAGATGAAGTCTGGTTGGAGGAGATCGGTCACTGGGGCACAGCCTAGAAGTGTATATTTCCCTGTCTCCTCCCCTGACCTCACTCTGCTTGTGGACTGCCACACCACAAGCCTCCTCTGCCAAGCAGCAGTGCCTTGTACTCAGCTCACTATGGACTGAAACTATTACAAACTGTGAGCCAAAATAAACTTTTCCTTTTCTAAGTTGTGGGTGTCAGATATTGCGTCCCAGTGATGAGAAAGTAACCAAAACACCCACCTTTCCCCCATCTCACCAAATTAGAGAAATGCTTCCCCCTTTTCAAACTCTATCCATGGACCTGTTGAGAAAATGGCCAGATGTAGGAAACAGGAAGAATAGCAAGACTCTAGGAAAACACACAAATGATAGATTAATAGAAGGTAAAAGTTGAGGGCTAGGGATGTAGCTCAATGGTAAAATGCTTCCCTAGCATGCATGAGTCCCTGGGTTTGATCCCTAGTATCAAGAACAGTAAAAGCTGAAGGGAATTCTGGAGATCATTAAACCTATGTCTCATTTGTCATGCATTAATCTAGAAGTTTCACCTGTCTTAACTAATGTAATTCTTTTCTTGACCATCCTACAGGATAGGCAAATTTTTTTTTTTTTTGGTAATGGGAATCGAACTCAGGACCTTATGCTTGCCAGGAAGGCACTTGTGCCGCTGAGCTATATCCCCAGCCCAAGATAGGCAATTATTACAGGCTTCTTTTTTTTTTGGTGAGACAGGGTCTCACTCTTTAGTTGAGACTGGCCTCGAACTTGTGGAGATCCTCCTGTCTCACCCTTCCAAGTGCTGGAATTACAGGCGGGCACCACCATACCCAGCTTTATCATTGCCATTTTAAAAATGGAGGCACAAGAAAAGCTAAGTAAATTGCTCAAGGTTAAAAGCTAAGAATGATGGAGGTGGGATTCAAATCATATCTATGGGCATTCTTTCCCACCCTTTCTACATGTTAAATTCTTTTTGAGCATACTTGCTTGCTTTGCACATAATTATGTCCTTCCCAAAATTTCCAATGCCTAGCACTCTGGGAGGCTGAGGTAGGAGGATCATAAATTCAAGAGAAGCCTGAGCAACTCAGCAAGATCTTGTCTTGCTAAGATTAAAAAATATATATATATTTTTAAAATGGGATGTAGCACAAAACAAAAGCCCTGGGTTCAATTCCCAATAGTTCACATAGACACACACACACACACACAAATACTATTTGGGTTCACTGCTTCCATTTCCTTGCCTGAGTCCTTCCCTCCACCTTATTTTTCAGCCCATCACACTAACAAAATACACTTGCTAAGGTTACCAACAGCTTCATAATGATAAAGCCAACAGGTATTTTTTAATCCTTACATTACTTAAATTCTAGAAGTTTCATTTCTACCACTTTCATTTTTTCACTTCTGAGACACTCCTTTGGCTCTATGTATTCCTTCTGTGTCTCTTACAGGTTTCTTATCTCTTCTTCCCCATTAAATACTGAAACTATTCAAGGTGTAACTTAGCTAACCTTATCGAGACCTATGATTAAATTACCACATATATGTAAATTATCCCCCAAATTGTATTTCCAACACTAATCTGTGTTCTGAGCACAAGTGTATTTCAAACTGCTTCCTGAAGTCCTCAATCACAAAAAACAAAAAGTAGTTCCCAGTCATCTTCTAATGTTCTCTCAGTGAAGAGTACCAGTGTCTATTCAACTACATAAGCCAAAAACCTAGGAGCCACCTTTAATTCCATTCACTTCACTTCCTGAATCCAATCCATCCCCAATTCCTACCCATCTTACCTCCTCCATGTCTCTAGAATCTAATACTCTGTGCTTCACCACTTGGTTCCTGCTGACATCTCTGACTGGGATTACTGCTTATCCTCCTAAGCGATTCTTCTACATCCACCAAGGCCCTCTTCATCTCATATTAAGCCTGAGGGATCAAGCTACCCCCTCCACATCCCACTCCCGAGGGAAAGGAAAGCTCTTAGTGGTTTCCCTACAGTTTTAAAAGAAAAAATACAAACTCCTGCAAAGTCTGATCTCTAAAACCTCCAGCTCCATCCTGTACTGTACCCCCGCCCCATTTTCTTTATACCAGCACCCACTTGATAGGGGACCTCCACGCCTGCTATTCTCCGTGGAATGCTCTGCCTTCCCTCTTCACCTCATTAGAATTTTTCCATCAGGGATCAACTCGGGCATCTTTTCCTCTGAAAAGCCTTCCTGCTTATTTCAGGCACTCATAGCGTCAAGTACCTCTCCTGGCTAGCACGTTCCAGTTGGTGAGATCACCGTTTAATATCTTGCCCCCCACAACAGACTCCAATCCCTTAAGACTGGGGACCATGTTTGGTTCATAACGTATCTGCCAACGCTCTGCACAGGAAACGTCAGTGGAACCACTGAGGAGGCCTGGTTCATAGGTACAATCTCAAATTTTTCAACGGAACTGGAGGAGTCGGACATTTCCTGCATCATTGTCCCCCTCGGGGACATAGATCAGGCTCTTAAAAAGACTGCACAATCACAAGCAGAAACACGTAGGCCTGCTCAGCTAAAGGGGCATTGACGGGGGACAGGCCTTTCTGCAGGGGAACGCAGGGCACAGGATGGACACAAAAGGCGCCTGTAGAAGAGGTCAGCAGTCAAGGGCCAGCCGCCGTGGGGCCTGAGTCCCGCCGCCAGAGACCCCCAAAGTCTGTTCCTGCTCACAAAGGGACTCACCCAGGCGGGAACTCGGAGCCTGCCTTCCGCCCCCTGCTATTAGGACTTTCAGTGAGAACGGCAGGCTCAGGCCGCACAGCCGGGAGGTCGCCTCCTACGAGCAGCCCGCCCACCCCCGCTCTCCCTCCTACTTACTAGGCGTCAGCTCCGAGTCGCGGAGCTGCTGCATTGCCCGAAACGCCTAACCCAGTCAGCGCGTTCCCGCCCACTAGACAGCGCGCCGAGGAGGGACGCCAGCTTCGTTTGCCAATCCTGGAGTCGCGTTTTCATGACGTCAGAAAGATAGACCCAATAACAAGAGCCGGCTGGTAGGCGGGGTAAAAGACAATCTTGGAAATCGATTGGATTGTCCAAGCCGGAAGTTGAGGAGGAAGAACTAAATCGCAGCCAATCGCGAGGCGCCTAGGGCTGTCCGCGCGGTCAGTGGCCGCGCTGAGGAGAGCGTTTTCCGCCATGATAGAACAGCCGAAGCGCAAGGCCCCGGAGTTGCCACTGGTTCCAGTCAAACGGCAGCGTCATGAGTTGCCGCTGGGAGCGGCGGGCTCGGGCCCCGGAGCGGGGCAGCAACAGGCAGCCCCGGGAGCTTTGCTGCAAGCGGTAAGTGAAGAAGCAGACGGCCTTGGGCCCTCAACTCCTCTCCCTGTCTCAGCGCTATTCCCGGTGATCCCGCAGTGCGCGGGCGGAATGAGAATGGACCTGAAGTTAAAGCGCACAAACGTTATAAAAGCCCCGATTCCCTGTTGGATGCCCACTTGCAGCCTTTTGACTGCCCTGTGAGGTAACGTTCAAATTAGTCTAAAACCTTGGGCTCGAGACCCAGACCCTGGCTTCCGCATCCTAACTCTTCCAGGGATGCAACATAAAGTATCTAGGGTAGATGAATGAATGAGCAAGGGAAGGAAGCAGTGAAATGAGCTCGCTTTGGGACTTTGGGCAAGTTGCTTTTCCTTTTGTTTCTCAGTATTTGTGTTCTTTACAGCAACTGAGTAACAACTTCATTGACTCTTGTACTGTTTTGTATGTGAAATCTTCATTGATCTTGGTAACAGCCTAAAATGTAGCAACTATTATTTTCTCATTTTGCAGGTGGGAAAACAAACTCTTAGCTAACGGCATTTCTCATTGAAATGGTTACACTTTCTGCTATGTTGTTAGGCTCAGAAGAGGAAATATGTAATGTGCCGTCTCTCTCAGCGCCTCAACCAGCCTGTCAGCCAATCCCACTGGCATCGTCCTCAGAATATCTAGATGAGTCAGGTGTCATGGCACACTAGTCAGAAGGCTGAGGCAGGAGGATTGCTTGAGCCCAAATGTTTGAGGCCAGCCTGGGCAACATAGTGAGACCCTTAAAAAAAAAAAAAACACAGATAGTAATCAGAATTTGTACTATCTGGATCTGTAAGGTCTCCTGGTCTAAGTCATTATCCCAGCGAACAAGCTAGTCTAAAAGAAGCCATCTTGGTTAGCAAGCTGATGGGAGTTAACAGAGAAAATATTGCTATCCCCAAATAAAGCTGTTTGCCGGGGATATAGCTCAGCGGCACAAGTGCCTGCCTGCCAAGCACAAGGTCTTGAGTTTAATCCCTGGTACAAAAAAAAAAAAAAAACAACAAATAAAGATGTTTGCATTTCTGCCAATAATATGATATTACTGCCAGCGGGGCCTAATTTGGTTTGCTGTTTCTGTCCTATCAGCAATTTGTTATCAGTCTAGCACTCAGGAGTCTTTCAGAACATCAGTTTACATTCTCCTCTGCTACAGACTTTCCAGTGGCTTTCCATTTAATTTGGAACAAAAATAAGAATTTTTATAATCACTTCCTTTCCTTACCTTTCTGGTCTGCCAATTTTCCATTGCTTACAATGCTGTAGTCATGCAGATTTACATTCTCCTGCCTCACAGCCTTTGCATGTGCTGCCCCCTCTCCTGAAATGTTCAAATGTCCACATGATTTACACACTCAGCTCCTTCAAGTCTTTGTTCAGATATCACTTTTTTTGGTGAAGTCTTTCTTTTACCATCCTATTTTAAATTGTAACACCTCATACTCTGGAACTCATATTTCTAATGTATTTTTCTCCATGGTATATATCACTGTCTATGCCTCTCACGTCTCTTTCCTTTGTGTCTCTCTCTCTCTCTCTCTCTCTCTCTCTCTCATTACCCCTCCTTCCCTTCTCTTACATGTCTCCTCCCCCTCCTTCCCTCTAGAATGCAAGCTTCATTATTTATTTAGCTTAATATTGCTTTCCCTAGTGGCTAGAACACTGCTTGTCACATAATATTTTTTAAAAGAATAAATATGCTGGAAACTGTTAAAGAGATTGAGGGTTCTTGGGTAGTGTACTTGTTCTTCCTATTTGGCAAGTAAGAATGTCAACTCAGGTTTAACTGAATTGCCAAGCCTAGGCTTAATGTTCAAAATCATAATTAAAACTACTTTGTTCAATAATCTGAATCCCGCAGGGTTGGCAGGAAGCACAGTTGAGTAATTCATTAAATGAACAAAGACTGAGAAAACAGTTTTGAATGACACAAGTAGGGTCCCTGCACTCACAGAGCTTCATTTCTCTGGGAAAAGGACAAGATACATACAGAATTATATGAGGAAGGTAATTTCAGGTAGTGCTCAGTGCTGTGAAGGCATACAATGGAGTTAACAGAATACAAGTAGGGGTGTTTCTTGAGTTTACGTGATCAAGGAAAGACTTTCTAAAGAGGAAGTACTTGAAAGCCAAATCTAGGAGAAGAGATTCTCATCAGGGACAACTGCATGGGTAAAGATCCTAAGGCAAAAGTGGATTTAACTTGATTGAGCAATCAAAACCTGACTGTGGCACTGGAGCCAAGTGGGAGAAGAGGAGAGTTGGTATAACAGGTAGACACTGGAATATTAAGAGGGTATCAGATGGGAGATACAAGGTATGTGAGCAGAGCTGCCATTCTCTAAATCAGGTGAAATCCTGTCAGTCATTTGCCTAATCTTTTTCCCTCTACTCCCAACCCCCTGTTCTACAGCCTTGCTTGTGTACAATGGCTCCTTCATACTTCTGTTTTGTTTAGGGACCTCCAAGGTGTTCCTCCCTTCAAGCTCCAATCATGCTGCTCTCAGGACATGAAGGAGAAGTGTACTGCTGCAAGTTTCACCCCAACGGCTCCACTTTAGCATCTGCAGGATTTGACCGACTGATATGTAAGACACAGTTGTGTTTTGGTTTTGTTTTTCAGTACTGGAGAAGGAACACAGAATTCTGTACCACTGAGCTACATCCTCAGCCCGTTTGTTTTTTGTTTTGAAATGGTTTCACTGAGTTCCCCAAGCTGGACCTGAACTTGGCAATCCTCCTGCCTCAGCCTCTGAGTAGCTAGGATTATAGCCATGCACCCACATGCCCAGCTAGACAGTTTTTAAATCCAGAGTAATTACCCTCTGCCAAATACTGCTTGGGTTTTTTAAACCTTGGATACTACAAACTGGCAACATAAACTACATGGCTAACATGCTAAAAGCAACGCATAACTATGCTGAATAATCACCTGGATGTAAAACTTGAGGTCCAGCCAGGTGTAGTGACACACACCTGTAATGCCAGCACTGCAGAGGGTGAGGCAGGAGGATCCCCATGAGTTTGAGGCCATCCTCAGCTCCATAGTAAGTGCAAGGCCAGCCTGAACTACATAGCCAGACCCTGTCAAAAAAAAAAAACTACGTGAGGTTCATGTGGTAGATATAAAAGGAAGGAAAGAGTTGTTCTGGTTTGAGGATATATTCATCATGAGGGAAAGTAAGTCTAGAGCTGATTTAACAAGGTGAATAATCCAGATTTCATAAGTTAATAAGAGTTATAAAGAAAGAAACATTACTGTTCCTAAAGGTGCACAGGAGCCTCCTCTTGATCCACACCCAGAATCCTAGCATAAGAGAAGGAAGGGTTCCCAAAATGGCAACTCACTTTGATAATCTACCTTTGTATTACGATTTGCTACCAGATTCTTAGCTATAACTCCAGAGTACTTAAACTTGAAAAATGAATAGAAAAATGGGGCCAGGGTGTAGCTCAGTTGTAGAGTGCTTGCCTAGCATACACAGGGCCCTGGATTTGATCCTCAACACTATTTTAAAAGGTAGAAAAAAGTCCATTTGAGGGAGTCATGAGAAAAAGCAAGTAAGAAAATAACAAAGCTCTCTTTTATTTGATTTCTGACTTCATTCACCTGATTATGACATGAAATGAGTTCCTTGGCTCTTTATCTGTTAAGTCTTTATTTGTCTTGGTTACTTTTCTCATTGCTGAAACAAAATACCTGATACTCGAAGTTAAAGGAGGAAAGCTTTATTGTAGCTTGCATTATATAGCGGTTTCAGTTCATAGTTGGCTGGCTGCAAGGCAGGGTGGCATAGTGGAGGGGCATCACAAAGGAGAAGCAATTTATGTTGGGCAGAAGACAGCAAAGAAGCAACAGTGGGCGGCCAAAAGCAGCCTTCTTTCCACCCTTATATTCTATCCAGGCTGCATGCCCTTACACCCAGGGCAGGCCTTCCTATTATCTACATCCAGAACTATGCCAAACCAGTCAGTGGACCAATTTAGTAATCATGCACTCTTGATTGCCAGCATCACACATGTAGATCCAGCCACTTCTGAAAAGCCCCATCTGTGACCACATAAGCCTTTGGGAGACACCTAGACACAAGCCGTGACAGTACATCAGAGTGGCACAGTGCCTGCCTGGCAAGCATGAGGTTGATTCCCGTTAGCAAAAAAAAGACAAATAGGTAGAGGTGGAGACTAGGGGAGGTGCCAACTTCTTAAAATTACAGAAACAGTTTAAATTTTCTTTTTTCTTTTTTTTTTTTTTTTGCAGTACCGGAAATTGAACTCACGCCCTTGCACTTGCCAGCCAGGCGCTGTGCCACTGAGCTAAATCCCCAGCCCCTAAATTTTCAAAATTTATATTTTTTAACCTTAAGAATTGTAAAAATATTCCCCTAATTTTTATCTTAGTGTTGGGAAAATTTGTCCCTTGATAGAACCAATAGTATCCAAGGAAATAATAATTTCACAACTGTTGTTCAAGTAAACTCAAGTAACCTCTGCACAGCCAGTGTACACAGCTTATATTACTTACAGAAGTCCTGTCTCCCTAACAGTGCTATGGAATGTCTATGGTGACTGTGATAATTATGCCACACTGAAAGGACATAGTGGAGCAGTGATGGAGCTCCATTATAACACAGATGGCAG